GATGGTGGAGGGCGCGCCCGCAGCCACTCTCCTCTGCTGCCTAGGCAGCCCTCGGGTTCTCACACGGCGCCCAGGCCTCTGAGTCTGTTCAGAAAGATCCTCCGGGGATGCGGGACTTTATAGATATAGTGAAACAACTTTTCCCACCAGAAATCACTATTGCTTTTAAACTTGGGCTTTGTCACATCAGATCATGTTTAGAAATACTGACCTCCGGCAGGCCCCACTGCCCACCACACTGCTAGCTAGGACCGCGTGCACTGACCGCTCTGGCTCCCTCTGGGTGGCCGTCACCACCAGGAGCGCGATGAGTGTGAGCGGAGCACGGGCTGGGATGACACCCCAGGGCCATGGCATCAGGAGCTTTCTATCATTCACTTGAAGCCAGGAATGGAGGGTCCGTGTTAGGTGGGCTCAGGTGACTCCCAGCATCAGGGTGCTCTCAGCCACCGCCCTCCCGAGAGTCTGCATTGTCCGGGCCCAAGCTGGCAGGGAGCAGTGGGATGGGGCCCTGCCTCAACATTGGGCCCAGAGCTGCCCCGGGGTGTTGCACCCATTCCCACGCAGCCTCAGCTTCCCCGTGCAAGACGCCACATAGCACACGCACGTGCACGTCACAGCGAGAAGGTGGGACAGGCAGCCTGACAGGACGAGAACGGTGCTGTCCGGCTCCTTCGCGCATCAGGCCTGAGCACAGCCCACTCACCGTGTGGCAGGAAGTCTTTCCCTCCTGCCAGGCAGGGCTGACTGTCCGCACCGTCCAGTTAGCACAGCAGGGGCTCCGGGCCCCGTCCAGATGAGCTGGGATGTGGACAGACAGCAAATGCAGACTCCCCGAGTCCTGTGAGCAGCGCGCTGGCCTCGGGCACCCCTCGGACACAGGGAGGCACTCAGGCCGTCCACGTGGTGCTCGCTCCCGGCATGCCATGGCCTCTCGCTTCGCTGAGCAGTTTTGTTTACATTTTACGATTTTTTTAGAGGAATTACTTAATTTTATTCATTCATTTACTTTAACTTGACTGGAGAGAGAGAGACACAGAAAGAAAGAAAGAGGGAAAGTGAGAAGCAGACACCAGGTCCGGATCCGACCATGGTCGGCCCACGTGGAGTCCAGCGCCTTAACCGCCAGAGCGTCCGGTCCCCACATTTTACGATTTTCTCTCGATTCCCAGCATGAACGTTTATCTTGGAGATATCTAGAACTTTGGCCCGTGCGTTTGCAGAATGACGAGACAGAGTCCACGGGTCCAGTTAGTTTGTGAGGGAGAAAAGTGGAGGCGCCGACCGGATGGACACTCCTGGTGGGAGCGGAGGAGGAGCAGGCTCCCATCCTGACGCGGGGTGGCGGTGGGAGGCGGCCTCGGCCCGCACAGGGGCCTCACCCCAGACCTGCAGCGACCGCGTGCCCGGCAGCTCCCGTGAGCCGGTCCGCCAGAGGGTGCCCTCCCACAGGACTATGTGCTGGCTGTGGACGCCCACCTGTCGGTCATCAAGTGCTTCCCGGAGCAGGAGCCCCAGCTGCTGAGCGCTGTCGGCCGGATCTTCCTGCAGGTACTGAGCGAGGGCGGTCGCGGGGCGGGTGCGCACAGGGGCAGGCACGCGGGCGGAGGGGGGGGGGCGGGCCTCCGAGGAGCCTGCCTCGGGGACATGCCGCTTGGGGGTATCAAATCCTCTTAGCTATAGATCTGAGAAATGGCACAGAAAATGCCACAGCTCCCGTTTATGGTCCTCTTCGAGGCCGAGCCCCTGAGGTTCGAGGCCTGCGGCTCTGCGGCAGTCGCTGGGTGTGCATCTGCCTGGATCACGCTCGAGACCGCCCTGCGGCCAGAAAGGGCCGACAGTGTCCTGAGTGCTGCCTCCCCACGTGCAGGACAGGCACACGTCATGGACACGCAGGCCAGGCAGTGGTCGCGGCAGTGCGAAGGCCGGCACGCCTCTGCCTGCATGTCAGTGTCGCGTGGGTGCCGTCCCGGAGTCCTCGAGATGGAGGGCATGGCATGATGACTGCCCCTCGCTCCTGCCCGTCCTGGGTGGCCTTCCCACCCTGCAGCTGCACGTGAGGAAAACTCCGTGCCCACCCAGGGTCCCCATGTGACATCCCAGCCAGGGCTGGGGAAGGGCAAGGAGGACGGAGCACAGAGGGCTCCAGGGCGCCAGCCTCCGCTCATGGGCATCACGGGCCTGTCTCAGGCTAGCAAACTGACGTTCTCAAGCAGTTAAGTGACCTGCTGGAACCTCGGATCCTGCCACAGGAGGCCACGGGTGTGCACTTACCTGGGAACCCAGGGTCTGTGTCCTACTGTGTACGCACTCACACCTCCTCCCCACCCCTGTGCCCACACACACCTCAGTCCACTCCTGTGCCCACACACACCTCCTCCCCACCCCTGTGCCCACACACACCTCCTCCCCACCCCTGTGCCCACACACACCTCCTCCCCACCCCTGTGCCCACACATACCTCAGTCCACTCCTGTGTGCGCACATACCTCCTCCCCACCCCTGTGCCCACACATGCCTCCACCCACCCCTGTGCCCACACACACCTCCTCCCAGCACACGGAGGGTCATGGGCCCATCCTCTGTGCGACCCCTCTAAGTGCGTCCTGCACGCACTGGGCCCACTACGGAGAGTTGCAGGACGGCAACCACCGAGTGACCCGACGCAGGGTCACAAGCTGGTCGGCCAGGCCGTACACAGGCTTGGTGCTCACCTCTCAGTGACCAGGGCAGCTGCGAGCACGAACCATGTGCCCGTGTGCACCCATGGGCGTGCTGGGGGTAGCCTTTTCCACCGGGGTGGCCTGACCTGTGTCGCCGTCACCCTGACAGCTGAGTGGCATCCTGTACCCCCGATGGCCTGTGCTCCGAGACAGCCTCAGAGACGGCACCGAGCCTTCCCTCGCATAGCCTGCACCTTTGAAGCGGGCGCCCTGGGCAACTCTCGCTCGGCCTGCCTGGCACCTGAAAGCGTTTCTTCAGCGAGTCTCTGACTTGACCTCACCCAGGCTGAGCAGGCAGGCTGGGAGCAGGCTGGGGGTTGGTGGGGTGCTGCCCTTCTGCGGTGCGACCCTAGTGGCTTGATAAACACGTGGGGGCTCCGTGCCCAAAGTCCTGATGGAATGGGGAAGTGGGGAAAGGCTTGCAGCGGGACACACCCACTGGGGGCGCTCTCCCACTGCCTCTCTGGGGAGTACACACACCCACTGGCAAATAAAAATAAAGCACCTAAAAAGGAAAATAAGCAGGAAGAAAAAAACAGGAAAGATAGGAAACCGGCCAGCCTGGCCCGCTGAGGTCTCCAGTAACTGCACTTAGCTCCCGTGGACTCTGACCAGGCCCTCTGACACACACGCTGTCCCTGAGAGCCGTCTCCGGGCCTGTGGTTCCAGGCCTCACGAGTTTCACAGACACTGCCCCGCGGCCGCCCGCAGAACTTCACCGGCCTTACTCAGCTCACCGCGACAGTGCATCTCTGCACCCGCAGAGAACCAAGCCACTGCACACCGCCCCGCTGACAGGCTAGCAGGGCTACCACAGCGGGGCCTAGGGGAGGCTGCTTCACTAGAAAGTGGCTTTCTGCCTGCATCTAAAGCCACCTGGAGGGGCCGAAGTGCACGTGGTCAGAACTGGCCATGGAAGCCCTGGTCGTGCGTGGCTGGGCACTTGGTCCCACGAAGTAACTGACCTATGCCAGGTTCGAGGCCCTCAACCGGTACCTGCCGTGGCCTGGCCATTCCCGTGGCTCGCTGCATTTTCAGGGTGGGTCTCGGTCCCACAAGATGGACGTGGGAGTGGGGCATGGCACTGTTGGGGCGGTGAGGTGAGCAGGACCAGAGCAAGGGGACGCTGCAGAGTCAGTGGGCAGATGAGCCGCACACGGCGGCGAGGAGCGGGACTCCGCAGGGCGACAGCGCTGCTTCGGTGGGAGCGTCCTGTGGACTGCCTTGGACACTCAGCCAGGAAAGGTGGATGTGTGAGAGAGGGGCGGCAGCCCCAGGGCCGAGCTCCCGGCAGGACTCGCGGCAGCTGGAGTGAGGCAGGACGGGAGATGGCGTCACGTGGGACCCACTGTATTTCCCTGAGGTTGCGGCCGGAGGCAACGGAAGGGAGGCATGGCCCCGCCACAGCTCGGAGCATGTCTGCAGGCCCAGCAGAAGGATTTGTGGTCCTGCTGCTGTTGGAGCCCTGGGACTGGCGCAGGTGTCGGCGCTGCTGGGTTACAGAAGCGAGTGCAGGTGTTCTGGAAAGCAGAGGAAGGTCAGCCAAGCGCCGGGCACAGGGCAAACCCATCGCTGTTTCTCCAGAGCCGCTGCAAGGATGACAGTACTCTGGGGCAGCCTCACAGACCTGGCGTTGAGGCTCCCAGGGACAGCGCAGCTGAGGCTGAGAGCAGCTGGCCCCATCAGGAGGCCCACATCCGCCCTACCCACGGGTCCAACCCTACAGAGGCACACGCCTTGGGGCCAGGTCCCTGGGGTGGTACGCAGGCGGAGGGCGGTGCCACCTGCCTGTCTCACCCGGGCTCCCGCTGTGTCCAGGAGCCTTCTAGGCTGAGAGCGGTCATGGCAGTGAGCCGTCCTGCGAGGAGCACACCGGGCCCCCCTCTGCCAGAGCCACGGCCACAGTGACAGCGAGCCGCCCCTGCATGCTGGGTGGGGCGGTAAGGCCAGCGCTCCTCCCTCCGTCCCCTCTGAAAGGGCAGTGGAGTGGCAGGACACACCCACACAGGCCGGCCCCTGACTGCACCCCAGCATCAGAGTTTGCAGAGACTAAGCGAGAGACCGAGATGCCCACGCTCCGAGACGGGAAATGACGTTTCGTGCCAAGGAGTGGAGAGAAGCCCTCATCGCACGGGGACAGGACACGCACAGCTGGTAGAGTGGCGTGAAGGAGCGTGAGAACACAGCAATGGATTGAGCGGGTGGAGACACCCGTGAGGGACGGGCACATGGCCACGTGACAGCACCCGGCTGGGACTGTCGCCGTGCCTCACTGTGTGCTTCAGATTTTGCTTTAAGGTACTTCTGAAACATTACGTGAACTCAAAGTAAACATTTGAGCCAGCAGGTGATGTGGTCAAGGCACTGGATCCCAATGGCTGACCATGGTTCAAGTCCTGTACCTGGAGGCTTGAAAGGAGCTGGGGGTGTGCACGCCTGAACTCTCAGTAGGAGAGTGGGAGAGAAGGGATTGTGGGTGGCCATCTCTCCTTTCTCACTTTCCTCTCTCCATCTGCAGTGAACACGTACGCCATCAAAGATCTAAAAGTCTCAGAAGGGAACACGCGTGCTATGCCGACAGCCCCCAGACTTCAGGAGGAGGTGGGCCAGTGAAGACTGAGATGGCCGTGGGCCCCCACTCCTCGCTGTCCCCTGGGGTGCCCCGTGCAGTCACCTTGCTTAATCCTGGTGACAAGGGAGGGTCCCACGTTCAGTTCATTTCTCACGTGCTGCTGGGAACCCTGACGCTGGTGCCAGGAGGTGTCCCTGAGGGCAGGAAGGCCAGGACCAGGGACAGGGGTGGGGAATAGAGACCAAGGTGCCATTGAAGGAGCCAGAATTCGAGTGGAAGAGACTGCAGAAGGTTTTGTCCCTCAGCACTGCAGAGAACAGCACTCGGCAGAGCGCCTGAGTCCACTGATCCCCCCACACCCGGGGCTGCAGGATCTCAGTGCAAGAGAGATGGGTGAACAGGCCTCACCCGAATCCCGAACCACTGTGCTTCTGCTGAGAAAGTGCACTAAACGGGGAGAGCAAACGCCTGGGATTACCTGCACAGTGCCCTTAGGGCTGTTACGAGCCGCTGACCGCAGCCCACCCCAGCGAGGCAGGAGGGTCAGTGGAGCCGAGCTTGAGCTCCACCGTGCTGCCCGAGATTAAGGCGGGTCTGCTGCCCGCACGGCAGAACCCCAGCCTGCGTTGCCAGGAACAGCCATCCCTGCGAGTCTGCACTTAGAGTTTAGTGAACTTAGAGTGGTGGTTAAGGCCTGGATTCTCATGTGGACCCAGAGCCTTAAAAATCACAGCTGCATGTGTGCGTGCATGCCCAAAATCCCGAGAAGGGATCCGACTCTCCAGTGAGCAGACGTGCCCTGTGGAAAAGACCTAAAAGACGAAAATAAGGAGTTCGCCGGGTTTGTGTGTGCGTGTGACTTCTCAAAAGATGACATGGGATCTGTTTCCTTCTGTCTTCATGAAAATAAGTGAAGAGTTTCCCTCTTTCTCTGCTGAAATTTTTAACACGTGGGAATTATCTGTTCCTTGAGGGTTTGAGTAAGTGACCCAGCAGCGCCCACGCTGAGCACTTGCTCTCGGGGTTCCTCCGACTCGGTCGTTCGTGTGCCCCACCCCTGTTCTAGGCCCAGGCCTGCGCCGGGTTCCCCTGCACACGTGTGCATGGAGCACCAGATTGCAGTCCGCGTCCTCAGTGAGCCCAGCACGCTCCCGCCAGTGTGTCCGTCCTCGCGTGTTGCCAGGCTGCCTGTGCTTGCTTTTTCTCGATTAGTTGGTCTGTTTGTAAAAAAAAAAATAGCTAGCGGTTATGGGTATGTATTTTTTAGATGTTCCACGATGCCTATTTTTTTTTATGGAGAGTTTTGTTTTTGGGGGGTTTTTTGTTTGTTTATTTGTTTGTTTGTTTGTTGCTATAGGGCGTGTGCACTCACCAGAAAGACCAGAGAGACAGAAAGCGAGAAATCACCCTCCAGGGGGGATGGCCACACCGCAATCCCTTCTCCTCCATTCTTCTCTCTGGATCTTGGGCACGCATGCACACACGCTTGGTGTGAGTTTAAGCCACTGGATCTAGGATTCGATCCACAGTCGACTACATGGGAGTCCAGCCACATAGCCATTACGCTAACTGCTGGTCCCCCTCCCCTACCACCACCCCCACCCCCAGGATACTTCCTTGGTTCTTGAGGGTTTTGCCAGAGGGCGTTGTGCATGGGCTCACCAGAGAGAGGGGAAGAGGGAGAAATTACCCCCAGGGAGGTGAGCACACTGCAACCCCTTTCCCACTCTCCTGGAGTTGTGAGCACACGTGGTTTTCAGGCCACCAGGTCCAGGACGAGCCGTGGTCACCGTGCGGGAGTCCAGCACCTTAACGACCGCGCCGCCTGCTGGCCTGCTCCTTGATACTTTCCATGGCTTTCTTACTTCGTTGAACTTTAGCTGCCTCTGAGTCTTAGGAACCTGCGGTTTTAAATCCGAGTTGGGGAGGTGTGAGCGCACTTTCTAACCACCAGGAGAAGCAGCCAGTGGCCAGAACCCCCTAAGGTTTCTCTACTGTCTTCCACCAAAAGTTGCCTCAGTCAAAGTCCATGTCCACGTCATGAAGCCTCGTGCAGAGTCTGCGTGGTGTGAGGGGACAGGCGTCCTGGGTCGCTCGCGGTGCAGAGTCCATGGTGTGAGGGGACACGCGTCCTGGGTCGCTCGCGGTGCAGAGTCCATGGTGTGAGGGGACACGCGTCCTGGGTCGCTCGCGGTGCAGAGTCTGCGCGGTGTGAGGGGACAGGCATCCTGAGTCACACTGGCGTGCGTTAGCGTGACCTGAGGAGGTTGACCTTCCCGAGCCTCATTTCTGCTTCTGGAAAGCAAAGTGAGAGCAGCTGCACCTCAGGCTGTTGTGGAGTCGAAGGAGCACGGTGCAGCGTGCACTGGGGACTTGGTGCGTCTGACCAGTGGTGGCGGCGGTCTGAAGGCCACGTTAAACCTCGTCATGTGAAGCAGGGTTTCCATAAAGTGGATGCATTACAGGAAGCTCTGTGTGCACTCGGGGCTGCGTCCCAGAGCACACGGCCTGGGTCCCCTCCGGGTCAGTGTGGGTGCAGGGGCCCACGTGGCATCAGGCTGTGTGGCAGGAACGCGGCCTGGCAGGTGCTGCGATCGCGTGTGTTCGCATGTTTGGTGTGACGTTTTCTTCCTTCTGATGTGGTACTCCCTGTGGCAGAGTAGTGTCAGCGACTGGGAAGGGTCTGAGGTTCTGTCCACTCACAAGCTGCGAAGTTAGCCCCATTCTGGGTGTGTGCATGTGTGCACGCGGGTGTGTGCACACATATGCATGCCTGCGGCATTTTAGGCAGGGTCTCACTTTGGCTTGCCCCCCCCCCTGCCCCCCCCCCGGCTTCGGGGCAGGCCAGGCACAGGAGCCGGCCTCCCCACAGCCCCAGCCCCAGGTGGAAGCTGCCATCTTCTGGGCGCTGGCAGAAGACATGAGATTCCCAGGCCAGAGACGGCAGGAGAGCCACGGGGTCGTTCTCCTCACCAGACGTGGCCCTTGTGCGCGGGGTGGTGCTGCAGTGAGCTGGAGAGGAGTCCCGAGCTGCACGCCCGCGCCAATCCGGCTGCCAGCGCCCTGCCTCTGCCCCCAGGGCCCACCCCGCTTCCAAGGCAGCCCCTGCCCAGGCACCCTTAGGAGAGCTCGGAGCTGAGCACATGTAGGACTGTTTTAATGACTGTAGCCTTTCTTTTTAAAAAAAAAAAAAAATTTAATTTTACTCACTCATTAATTTTTTATTTGACCAGAGAGAGCCAGAGCAAAAGTGAGAAAGCAAGCCACCAGGTTCAGGACTCGAACCGTGGTCGGCCATGTGGGAGTGTTTAGCACCTTAACCAGCATGCCACCTGCTGACCTTGCCTTTAAAGGTAAGGTCAGGCTGCAGCTTGGTCCCCAAGTCCCCTGCACCAGTGGGGACGGTGATTACAGTGAACTGGGGACAGAGCAGCAGGGTGTTGCTGTCCCTGGACCCCTGGGGACACAGGACAGTCATTCGCACCACCCACTGGGTGTAAAGTTTTTCCACAAGAGGTTTTTGTTTTTCCGTGTACTTCCCTCTGTGAGCTTTAACTCACTGATTTCTTCTGCTTCTGAGAGTCTTCCTTTAACAAACCAAGCTGTGGTGGACATTTATGTGTGGTCAGTTTCTTCTCCGAGTGAAGAGTACGCTTTATAAATGTCCTAGAGAAATACAGTAGCTTTCTGTCCACCCTTTGCAAGTGAGAGGGGTGGGTCGTTCCACTACTGACAGCCGAATCATCGGATGAGGGGCGCCCTCCCCCGTATGGTGTGCTCACCCGTCTCTCCTCCCCCACTCGCCCTCAGGACTGGGGCACGCACTTACACGTGGCCTGTTTCTCAGGATGCGGGTTCTGAAACAGACCGCACCGTCGACCACGTGGGGCTCAACTGCCTCGGTACCAGCCCACGCTCACGGCTGCCATTTGAACCAATCTGACAAGCCGTGGTGCTCTGGGTGTGACACATAAGGGAGAGGCTGAGCTGAGCTGAGCTGGGCTGTGGCTGCCCCTCCCCTCTCTGTTGCCACTCCCAAGGGGCCCGGCTTTACATAACAAGGGAGCAGATGGGCTTCCTGACAGGTGTGATAGGAGCGGGGGTTTGGTTTTTGTTTTTTACAGTATAATTGTGTATCATTTGGTCAAAATACATGGCTTTAAAATTTTCAGATGTGACCACACTACCATTGGATCAACCGTGACTCACCGACGGGGTTGGCAGGGCTTGCCATGCTGTCCCGCAGTCTCGAACCCGCAGCCGTTCAGCTTGGGGTTTTCGACAGTGTGGCGCCTGCCTGACCGTAATCCCTGAGCAGCCAAAGAGTGCGGGCCTGGGTGTCGCCTGTTGCGGCGGGCTCGCTGGGTCACGAGGTGTTGGCCAGTGTTCTTGGCCTCCAGGGGCTTCACTGCCGGGAACCCCATCAAGGGCTGAGGGGCACCTGCTGCTTTATTAGTGACTCACTTCGTTTTATTTTCCATAAGGTTGTGCCAGACCCCCTTTAAAGGTAGGCGGTCCTGAACTAATGCTGTTAAGTGGGCCCTGTCTCGACGGCCGGGTTTCTGACATGGGGAACGTCGGCTTCCCGGTGTCTAAGTGTCTCCTGCATTTTTACGAGAAGCAGTGACGTTCCATGGCTGCTGATTCCTCTCTGCCTCCCACGGATGTCTTCAGACTCCGGCCTGGTGCGGGGCGTGGGGCGTGGTTTGGCACCTGAACTGACTCGGTAATCTTGTCCAAGCAGATCGGAGACATCAAAACCGCTGAGAAGTATTTCCAAGATGTTGAGAAAGTGACACAGAAGCTGGATGGGCTGCAGGGCAAAATCATGGTTTTGATGAACAGGTGAGTGTTTTCACACCAACAGGTGCTCCCCCACATGTCCTGGTTCCGGACACGCCTCCTCACACGGGGTCTTCCACAACTGAGACCACAGAAATCGGAGGTCCTAGGCCAGCGGGTGGTGTGGTGGTTAAGACCCTGAACTCCCACACGGCTGATCATGGTTTGATTCCCGGACCCAGTGGCTTGAAAGTCATGCTGTGCCCAAAATCCCAGGAGGAGAGTAGAGGGCAGGCATGCAGCATGGCCCTGCCCCGGGGTGGTTTCCCACTGTCTCTCTCTCTCTGGTGAGTACACATGTCTATGGCAAAAACCTTACAGGAAAAGTCAAAGTCCCAGAGGACGCTGTGTTGTCACAAATGTTCTTTGGGCATGGAGGCTGATCTGGAGGGACCTCTCGCCGTTCAGAACGGCCACGCTGCCCGTTGCTGCGCCCAGCGCTGAGTCCTGCCAGTGTTTGGCCGTTGCCTGTCGCCATGTCCGAGCGTGCGGCCGTGTGTGGCCTAACAAACGAAACAAGCCTGTGCTGATCGCAAAGGGCCAAGGGCATGGCTGCCAGTGTAGACGCGGGAGCACACGGAAGCCATTTTGCTGAGTCCGTACAAGCCAGAGCGGCTTCGTGAAGCTGTGCTCCAGGCCGGTCGTCCAGTGCACATCACCCGCAGCCACGAGCCCTGTGGCATCAGCCCTGGGAGGGGCGGGTCACACGGGTCCCCATCACGGCGGCCCTGTGGGCTGACAGCACGGCCACCCCGTTACAGAGCCTTCCTTCACCTGGGTCAGAACAACTTCGCAGAAGCGCACAAGTCCTTCACGGAGATCTTGAGGCTGGAGCCCGCCAACGCAGTGGTAAGACACCTTGCAGGTGAGCCACAGGGGCTGCACGGCCGCGGCCTGCTGCTTCCACGGCTGCTGGAGACACATCCAGAAACAGGTCTGGGCTCGGCCCACAGCCCCTACAGCCACCAGCATCGGGGCAGCGGCATCGGGGGTGGGCCCCGCGGGCCGGGCACGGGCTGACTGCGTGCCCTCCCCAGGCCAACAACAACGCGGCCGTGTGCCTGCTCTACCTGGGGCAGCTCAAGGGCTCGCTGCGGCAGCTGGAGGCCATGGTGCAGCGGGACCCGCAGCACTACCTGCACGAGAGCGTGCTCTTCAACCTGACCACCATGTACGAGCTGGAGTCCTCGCGCAGCACGCAGAAGAAGCAGGCGCTGCTCGAGGCCGTGGCGGGCAAAGAGGGCGACAGCTTCAACACGCAGTGCCTCAAGCTGGCGTAGCGGGCGCCGGGCGGGCAGCGGGGGGGGACACCCCACAGGCTGAACCGGCCGGCGTGGTCCTGCTGCTCGGCCCCGCGGGAGGGAGGGCAAGTGTCACGGGCTGGGGGAGACCAAGGAGGCGAGCCCCCATTCGTCCTGAGGGCCGGCCTGCTCCTTAACCGATCCCGATCCCTCAGGTGACAGCTGGACGCTCAATAAACATACTCCCTGCCTGCACAGGCGTCCTCGAGGGTGTGTAGCCGGAAGGAGAGGCCAGAATGGCCGTTGTCCTACTGCTGTCCCCCCCAGCCTGCACCCGGGCAGGCACCACACGCCGGGGGGTGGTGAGACAGGGCGGCACATGACATGGCGTGGCACCTGGGCAGGCGGGGCTCCGCGTGGGGATGTCCTGCCGTGGCGGCGAGGAGCCCGTGCCTGGGAGCCGGCGGGATGGCGCTGTGCTTGGGTAGGTGAGCCTTCACCTTCACGGCCACGTCGTTCTTCCCCTTAAAACCTTAGAGTACCTGGAGATGTCCCCCGGAGCTGGAGCGCTCTGGGGAAGGCGCTCACAGAGCTAGGTTTCTAACACGCTCAAATACAGGTCCCGGGGCCAGCAGCTTGAAAATCTCACCTGGCGTGTGTGCCCCGAATCCCAGGAAAATGGAGAAGGGATTGTGGTGTGGCCATCCCCGGGTGGGTTCGTAGGGGTGTTCTCCCTCGCCCTCTCTGGCGAGCATTTGCACCCTCTGACAAGAAAACTGTTAAAAGCACAGCTCACTGTGAAGGCTTGCACGTGCCTGTCACACGCCAACTCGGGGCGGTGCTTCTCCTGGCTCGGCAGTGAAGACCACGCGGGCCGGCTCAGCGCAGCCGCTGAGACAGCGAATCCCCACACGGACAGGGAGGAGAGAGACGGGCCAGCCGGGAGGCCACTCGCAGCCCTCAGCCTGGAGGTTTTCCCTTGGGCCTGGCTCGGGGAGGAGAGACCAGCTTTCCTGCGCTCACACCAGACACCACGCTGCACGTGCATGGGCTGGGTGGGCGGCAGGCCTGGTCTTGCCAGGCCTGTTTTGTGGCAGCAGAGTACCGGCCGCCAGCCACTTCCGCAGGTCCTGAGACCTCGACGTGCGCATTCTCCGCCTCCAGGCTCCGGAAGTCCAGGTCTACACAGTCCTCTGCACGCCACACGCCACCTCCTCCCTGCCCTCGCTTTGCTCTCTCCTGTGACTCCTGCCGTCCCATTCCCCGTCCAGCTCTGGACACAGGAACACTGCCTGGTCACCAGCATCCTCAGGCCTAGGGTGGCCCCCCGGGACCTCTGTTGCATGAAGGAATGAGAGTGGGCGCACCGACATCCAGCCTGTATGGAGACTCGGGCGCGCACCGGGACTCACCACACAAGCGGGCCGCTGGGCATGCCAGCACCGGGCAGCACCAGCAGGTCGACACCTAGCCAGGACACTCGGGCCGCCTGTCAGCACTTCGGGAACGGCGTGTGGTCACATCCAGAGCGATGCCATTTCTGACGGTAAAATACCGGAAACGCGGGAGCGGCTTCGTCAGCTGCCACACGTCGCTGAGTGGAGAGCATGCTGTTTTTTACTTGCCAGAGCGCATGTGCTCCCAGAGATAGAGAGACAGAGAAAGCAACCCCAGGGGGATGGCCTCCTCCCAGCCCCTTCCCTCGTTCTCGAAGATTGCGGGCACACACGCGTTTCTCACGCTGCCAGCTCAGCACTCAGGCCCCAGTCGCTGTGTGGGATCCGGTCGCCTCAAGCCCACCTCTCCCAGCAGTTTTCCCTTAGCACCAAAATGAAGGCTCCCTGCCAGCTGCCCTGTCCAGATGGGGCTAGTCTGAGGCACTAGGTGACACGGCACCTGGGGAGCGCAGCAGGTGGCACGAGGTGCCCGTCCACGCCAACGTTGCAGTCTCGTCCTGCCCCGAGGCTTGAAGAAAGCAGCGGACAGCGTGTGTGCATGCTGTGACCCCTGAGGACAGAGGGGTCGTCTCCCCGGGGGTGATTTTTCACATTCTGTCTCTCCAGAAAGCGCACGTGGCCTTAAAAAAAGAACACTTAAAAAAACCCTTAAACAAAAAAAAGAGAACGATGTGAACTCTGCCAAAACTGGAGCAGGAGTGCCGAGCTGATGGACACGTGACAGTGGTGAGGCCCACGCAGGGTGCGCACGCTGTCCTAGGCAGGAACCCGGCGAGGATCGGCAGTTCCACAGGGAAGGACGGGGCCGCTCTGCCAGCCAGCGCCACACGAGCCTCGCCCAGGGCCTCTTAGCAAAGCCACACTGCAGTGCATGGAGCCACGCGTCGGGCAGGGCCAAGGGTGCTGGCATCCCCACCTCCTCCACTTGGCCTTCCCCTGCCCTGTGGTGGAGGGGGTTCCTCACCCGTGTCCAGCCCATGCCAAAGCCTAGGCCGAGTGACTGCAGTGAGCAGGACGTGCTGCCATTGCCAAGACCCCAGGGCCAGGCTGTCTGGGCCCTGTCCAAGGCTGCAGGACGAAGCCGCTACCAAGGCTGCTGGGGGGGGACCTGGCTCCCCGCCTGCCAGGGTCATCCATGTGAGCCCCACCCCAAGTCCTTCCACAGGGCAGTCGATAAAGCTGGGGCGGGACCAGCAGTTAGCGTAACGGCTATGTCGCTGCACTCCAATGTAGTCTCCTGCAGTTCAAGTCCCAGACCCGGTGGCTTAAACTCACGCCAGGCACATGTGTGTGTGTGCCCAAGATCCCGAGAGGAGAATGGAGGAGAAGGGATTACGGGCGTGGTCATCCCCCCTGGGGGGTGATTTCTCACTTTCTGTCTGTCTCCCTTTCTGGCGAGCGCATGTGCTCTAAAGCAAAAATCTCTCCAAAAAGAAAGAAAGATAAAGCCGGGTCACCAGGAGCCGCCAGGGTTAATCAGCAACAGAGCAGACTCAGAAATACACGGCACCAAGCCAGCCCAATTGACTCCATCAGGGCCCTCGCCAGGCCGTGACGCAATGAAACCTGCCGGGCTTGGAGGACCGGGAGGGCGGTGTCCCCGAGTGCGGATAAACGGGATTTTAACGCCAAAATGAGACATTGAGGTGTGATGACAGGAGGCACATGGCCGACAAATGAGACATTGAGGTGTGATGACAGGAGGCACATGGCCGACCAGTTAGAAATTGAGGTGTGATGACAGGAGGCACATGGCCGACAAATGAGACATTGAGGTGTGATGACAGGAGGCACATGGCCGACAAATGAGACATTGAGGTGTGATGACAGGAGGCACATGGCCGACCAGTTAGAACCGGGCACCTGTGCGTGTCCACATCCCAACAGGACGGAGAAGGGTGCTTCCTCTTTC